AAGTTTTCTCTTTGTTACAGTCTTGGCTGTCCTGAAACTCATTTTGTAGACCAGGCTGGCCTCAAACTCACTAAGATCCACCTGCCTCTGCCTCCTGAGCGCTGGAATTAAAGGTGTACACCACCATGCCATACTTTTTAGGTTTCTTGGAGTTTTGTACTGGAATGCACTAGGCAGCATAGGATGGCCTCAACACTCCCAATTATCCTTCTGCCTTTATCTCCCAAGTGCTTGAGTCACAGATATGAGACATCACACCTGGTTCTCACTGTCTAAGAGAGAAATTCAGGCAACACATGACATTTATCTCTAAGCTATCTAACATGACCTACAAAAGGGACCCAGTGACATAACCATCATTTCCTCAGGACGTTAGTTCATTGTGCTGCTGTGATCAGATGAACTGATAGTAGTAGCCCTGTACTAGGTACACAGTATCGTGTAATCTACTGCCCTTGTCCTTATTCTGTTTTTACCTTGTATATGATAGGGTTTCATAGTCAGTTCAAGTTGAAGTTGACCTCAAACTATGTGGATGACCTTGATTCTCACCTAGCATCCATAAGGCCCCAGGTTTGATCCCTAGGATCACAAAACCACTGAATCTTAAAACTAAAGGTGTTAGGAGCCAGGCCAATTTAAGGTTTTCCCTGAGGCCTGGTGTATGAGGAGGAACACAGTTCAAAACCAGGAATATGCTTAGCAGAGCCAATAATGGTCCAGGGCCAGGGCCTTGGAGGAGCTGTTGCTTTATATCCCGACAACCAACTCTTTCCCCTAAAAGGCTGTGGCTACCAGTTCCAAGGCTGCTGTGTGCCCCACCTGCTTACTTCGTTCCACTATAGATAGTTTTCTGCTGACTCTGGTCCATTTCTCTGAAAATATATACAAGAGAGCCGGGCGGTGGTGGCGCACGCCTGTAATCCCAGCACTTGGGAGTCAGAGGCAGGCGGATCTCTGAATCCCAGGACAAGTTAATCTACTGAGGTGAGTACCAGGACTACACAGAGAAATTCTGTCTCAAACAACAGCAACAACAATAATAGAAAAGACTTGACAAAAAAACAGCTCGGTAAAGGTAATCATGCAAGGTAATACTTAAAGTATTGGACCCAGGAAAATTCTGACTACTTCATAGGATACTGTCTCACTCTCCATAAATGAGCTTCATAAATGAGCCAGTGTAAGTATTTCTCGGGAATTTGGTAAAGGTCAAACCAACAGCTAAATAGAGATGCGGGTACTCAGTGGATTCGTTTTAACTACCCCGGGGCACCTCTCTGTTGGCCTGAATAGCTGTAAATGGAAGTCACGGAAGTAGAAGGCTTCATTATCGCTTTTAATTACGTTCCAGCCCTGGCCCTCTGTTCCTCTGAGCACTCGGCCTGGGCAAACAGCCCAGTTGAGAAGCTACCTGGGCGAATCTCACCTTCAGCTCCAGCTTGCGCAGGTATGGGGTCAACGAGGAGAACATCGGCGGCCTTTTCTCTGAATTGGTGAGGGCCCCGGACTGCAGTTTCAGCTCTCGGAGAGGAGTTCTCATAGCTGGTTTTCCCTGAGAGAGAAAGCGAGTGTGAGGAAACCTGGCTCAGGCAAGCGCGCCCCTCCTCTCTCCTGGAAATGTCCCCCCCCTCCTCCCCGCAACCGCCGGGCCGCGGGGCCAACAAAGCATCCCGCTGCCCGGCTCCGATGGACTTCACCGGCGCCACGCCCTGGTACTGCCCTCTCCGCGGGCGTTCTTTCCTCACCGGTTGGGGCGAAGGCGACAAGTCGAGATTCAGTGTCTTAACCCTCCACATCTTCAATTTGATCACTTTTCTGACTAAATCGACTTAGTCACATTGACCCGCCGACTCAATTTGAACGCGATACGCGCTTCCGGATTGGCTGTGGGGCCGCAGTACGTCGCGGGGGGGCGGGATCTGCGTTCGCCACGCCCCCAGGTCTCCACGCAATTGATCTAACGCCTGTTCTTAGGCTACCGGCATCAGGGTTGCGTGTCCTCCCGTCAGGGACACCGTGGGCAGCTGGAAAGTCAAGGAATCCTGTTTCAGTAGCTCTTTTCTCTCAGTTACCGAGTGAACGGCACTTCACGCAGGGTTGGGCTGTCCAGGTGTAGATGCCAGATCCATAGGTGCCCCACTTCGGCCTTCAGGTAAATGCCTCTTAAGAATTTTTGGGCCTTTCTTACATCTAACCTTAGAGCCTGCAACAAGATTACTAGAATAACAGCGGACATGTACTGTACACTTATGATGACCGTGGCACTCTTTTAAAGTGCTTGCTATATTATTAACTCATTCGTTTTATACATAAAAAAATGAGTCAAAGATAATATAATTTGCACAACATCCTACGAACACAGGCTTCTGTCTACTGAATCCCTCTGTAGTTAAACAGGGTCTCACTATGCAGCCTTGGCTGGCATGGAGCTCAAACTCAGAGATGTGCCTGCCTCTGTGTGCCTGAGTGCTAGAATTAAAAGTAGGTGGCATTGGGCTTGGCAGTGGTAGCACTTCTTTAATCCCAGCACTCGGGAGGCAGAGGCAGGTGGATCTCTGTTGAGTTCAAGGCCAGCCTGGTCTACAAGAGCTAGTTCCAGGACAGCTAGGACTGTTACACAGAGAAACCCTGTCTCAAAAAAAAAAAAAAATGTAGGTGGCATATTAGCTGGAATTTATTTTTTTTAAATATTTATTTATTTATTATGTATA